CTCCCCCCCTAATTCCTAGGGCTGGGCGGTTTCGTTTCGTTAATTCGTAATTCGTTAATAATTTGTTAATTTTTTCAATTACAAAACGATAACAAACCATTCTGGAGCAATTATTAAAAAAAACGAATTTTCAAAAACGTTTTGTAAATGCTTCGTATTTCGATATTGTATTCGTTTCGTTATTGTTTTGAGGTCGTTTCGTTATTATTTCCACATGTCTGGGCCAGTTTTATGGTTTAATTAGTGAAAAAAAATTATAATATCACACCAACAGTCAACAACAGAGGGAGAGGGAAGCTTCAGAAGGTTTTGGAGGCTTTTTAGCGTATTTCGCGGTCGCGTCCGCCATTAACGAATCGATTCGTTATTGTTTCGGAAATCGATTCGTTAATTTTTTACCATTTACGAAATTTCGTAAATATCGAACTTTTTAAAAGGAAAATTTTGTAATTATTTTAAATATCGAAACAAAAAAACACCCCAATTACAAATCGATTTTAGAACCAAATTTTTTCTTGATCAACCAGGCCTACTTTCCCCTTTACTTTCTCCTTTTTCTTTCCTTCCTTCCTTCACCCTTCCTTTCTTTCTCCTTCTTTTTCTTTTTTTCCTTCTCTCACTTCACACGTTCCACTCTTTCTTTCTTTCCTTCCTTTCTCTTCCTTCCCTTCCTTCTCCTCATACCTTTTCCCTTTACTTTCTCCTCTTTTTTCTTTCTTTCTTTCCTTCCTTCCTTCCTTTTCTCTTCCCTTTCCCACTCTTCTCCCTTCTTCTGTTTCTTTCTCCTCTTTTTCTTTCCTTCCTTCCTTCTCTTGCTTTACACCTTCAGCTCTTTCCTTTCTTATTTCTTTTTCCTTCCTTCCTTCCTTCCTTCCTTCTCCTCATACCTTTTCCCTTTACTTTCTCCTCTTTCTTTCTTTCTTTCTTTCTTTCTTTCTTTCTTTCTTTCCTTCCTCTTTCTTTCTCTTTCTTCTTCTTCCTCCTTCCTTCCTTCCTCCTTCTTCCTTCCTTCCTCCTCTTCCTTCCTTCCTTCTTTCTCTCTTTGCTTCCATGCTTCCTTCTCCCTTTTCCTTCTTTCTTTCCCTCCCTCTTTCTTCCTTTCCTTTCCTTCCTTCCTTCCTTCCTTCCTTCCTTCCTTCCTTCCTTCCTTCCTTCCCTTTCCCACCCTTCCTTTCTTTCTCCACTTTTTCTTTCTTTTCTTCTCTCCCTTCCTCCTTCCATCCTTTCCTTTCTCTTTCTTCCTTCTTCCTTTCTCTTCCTTCCTTTCCTCCTTCATACCTTTTCCCTTCACTTTCTCTTTTCCTTCTTTCCTTTTTTCCTCCCTTTCCCACTCTCCTCCCTTATTCTGTTTCTTTCTGCTCTTTTTCTTTCCTTCTCTCTTCACACCTTCTGCTCCCTCCTTTCTCTTATTTCTTTCTTTACTTTCTTTCCTTTCTCTTCCTTCCCCTCATACCTTTTCCCTACTTTCTCCTTCTTTCTTTCTTTTCTTTCTTTCTTTCTTTTTCTTTTCCTTTCTCTCTTTTCTTCCTTCTCTTTTCTTCTCTACTTTCCTTCCTTTCTATTCCTTTCCTTCCCTTCCCTCCCCTTATACCTTTTCCCTTTACTTTCTCATTTTTCCTTCCTTCCTTTTTTTCTTCTCTTTCCCACTCTTCTCCCTTCTTCTGTTTTTCTCCTTTTTCTTTTCTTTCTTTCCTTCTCCCTTCACACCTTCCACTCTTTCCTTCCTCTTATTTATTTACTTTCTCTTCCTTCCTTCCTTTTTTTCTTCCCTTTCCCACCCTTCTCCTTTCCTTTATTTTTTTCTCCTCTTTTTCTTTCTTTCCTTCTCTCCCTTCACACCTTCCACCCTTTCCTTTCTCTTCTTTCTTTCTTTCCTTCCCTCCTTTTGGTTTCCCCCCTTTCTTTTCCTTCTTCTACTTTTTCTCCATGTACAAAGTTGAGTCCAGATTAATCAAGCTACGCAGGAACCTTTGTGGTACATATGAACAAACCAACATATACACAAACTTTGCCTTTTATATACCCATAGTTTGGTTTGGAGGTTTTGAAAATAGAGGTATGCATTAGATTCAATGGCATATGAGATTTGAGTAAATACAGTATGTATGTATGTGCGTGTGTGTGTATGTGTGTATGTATGTACATCCCTGTAACATTCGACTTACAAATGACTCCTTGTTGAGAATGAGGTGAGACAACAGGAAGTGAGAGAAATCTACTTCTGAAGGGACATTCACTCCTAGAAGTAATTATCATAAAGGAAAGGTATAATATAATACTAGTAATAATAATTCAATATTATAATTATAATTATATATTTACATTACATGTAATATTACTAATAATATTACAATATAATGGTATAGTGCAATATAGTAATATATACTGATATTGTACTATGCTAATAATATAATATACTAGCTGTACCCGCCACGCGTTGCTGTGGCCAACCTTCCCTCTTTTCTTTCTCCTTCCTTCCTTCCCATCTTTCCTTCCTTTCCTTCTCTATCTCTTTCCTTCCTTCCCCCTTTTTCTTTCTTCCTCCTCTTTTTCTTCCTTCTCTCTTTCCTCTTTCCTTCCCTCCCTCTTTCTCTCTCTTCCTTCTCCCTTTCCTCTCTTCCCTTTTCTTTCCTTCTCTCCTCCTTCCTCCCTTTTTTTTCCCTCCCTCTTTCTCTCTTTCTTCCTTCTCTACCTCTTTCCTTCCTTCCCCTTTTCTTTCTTTCTGCTGTCTCTCTTATCTTTCCTTCCATCTTTCCTTTTCTTCTTCCTTCTTTCTCTTACTTTCCTTCCTTCCCCCTTTTTCTTTACCTCCCTTTCTCTTTCTTCCTTCTTTCCTTCCTTCCCGTCTTTCCTTCTCTTCTTCCTTCCTTATCTCTTTCCTTCCTCCCCCCTTTTTCTTTCTCTTCTGCTGTCTTTTTCCTTCCTTCTCTCTTTCCTTCCCTCCCTTTCTCTACAGGAAGGGGGGGGGGTTTGGAGGGGGCGGGGTTTGGAGGGGAAGAAGAAGGAGGGGGAGGAGGGATGGATTTGGATAGGGCGGGAAGGGGCGGGGCAGGGTTTGGAGGGGGCGGGGACTTTGCGCGCGTCGGGGACTTTGCGCCATTGCACATGCTCAGTTGTTTTGTCCATTTGTGAGTGTGTTGTTATGTTGTTTAGTATTTTGAATCGATTTGTGCATACCTTGTGGGTTGAGGTATGTGCATGGGAATTTTGTTAAATTTTCGTCGGGGTTTTTTTGAGTTTTGCTGTCCCGTTGGACGCCCCTTACAGATTTATATATATAGATTGTATGAAAATATTAGGCTTGGGTAACCACGGAAAAATTTGGTTCTAAACTCGTTTTGTTTTTAGGGGGCCCTTGCGTTTTGTTTTTTTAATAATTCTGAAATTTTCCTTTTAAAAATTTCGAAATATACGAAATTTCGTAAAATTACGAATCGATTCGTTAATGGCGGAGATTGCGCAATATGCTAAAAAACCCTCCAAATGGGACAGGGGGAACTTCTGAAGCTTCCCTCTCCCTCTGTTGTTGACTGTTGGTGTGATAAAACAAACAACAACTATAAAACTTGCACCAGACATGCCAAAATAATTACGAAATAATTACGAAATAATTACAAAATAATTACAAAATAAATACGAAATAAATTGAAAAAATTGTTTCGAATCTAATTTACTCCTCACACTATTCCTGCATGGCTCAATATTGGATCGTAAGCTAATTTAAATACGAATTAATAACGAATTACGAAATTAACGAACGAAACCGCCCAAGCCTAGAAAATATATATTGTAAGCCGCTCTGACTCCCCTTCAGGGTGAGAAGGGCGGCATATAAATGCCGCAAATAAATAAATAAATAAATAAATAAATAAGGTGATTCCCCTGAAGCTTTATTGCCAATCCTTGTGTCCACAACACACCATATTTTTCAAAATCCACTTATATCAAGGACAGGAAGTGTTGTGACTCTTCTAAACAGTGGCACAGAAAACAAGGCAAATGCCTTAGGGGGTGTTAACCTTACCCAATGCTATCAAAAGCTTATATATGTACTGTTCCAACTTACATACACATTCTACTTATATACAAACCTACAGCAGCTCTCTCGTTCGTAATTCGGGGACGGTTTGTATACAGAAGGCTAAACATGGCTCACGGATCCCTCCCAGACTCACCTTGAGGCATCCGTAGCCCTGCTCTTCCCTGGCGCTGGCGTTCCCAGCAAGATCCAGAGGCGCTTCGCAGTCAATGAACTCCTCCGGCCTGTGAATGAATGAACCACAAAAGCTTAAGACTCAGTATCTCTTTTAAACTGTGGTGCCTAAAATAGGACACAGTGTGATTCCAGGTGAGGTCTCAAGGCGACTCTCCACATACAGGCAACGATTCGATGCCCCAAAACACAATGTACACTTAAATAAATATTAAAATAGAATTTAAAAGTACATTAAAACAATTAAAACTGACCACACTGGGGGATTGAGATGTACGTGATTTTATCTTGGCGATTTGGCTTATATGTATGTATTTTGTTTGGATTTTAACTTATTATGATTCTATTATGTTTTTAGTTGTATTTGTGTATTGATTTTCCGTTGTTAGCCATCATAGAATCCTAGAATCCTAGAGTTGGAAGAGACCTCCTGGGCCATCCAGTCCAACCCCATTCTGCCAAGAAGCAGGAATATTGCATTCAAATCACCCCTGACAGATAGCCATCCAGCCTCTGTTTAAAAGCTTCCAAAGAAGGAGCCTCCACCACACTTGGGGGCAGAGAGTTCCACTGCTGAATGGCTCTCACAGTCAGGAAGTTCTTCCTCATGTTCAGATGGAATCTCCTCTCTTGTAGTTTGAAGCCATTGTTCCATTGTGTCCTAGTCTCCAGGGAAGCAGAAAACAAGCTTGCTCCCTCCTCCCTGTGGCTTCCTCTCACATATTTATACATGGCTATCATGTCTCCTCTCAGCCTTCTCTTCTTCAGGCTAAACATGCCCAGCTCCTTAAGCCGCTCCTCATAGGGCTTGTTCTCCAGACCCTTGATCATTTAGTCGCCCTCCTCTGGACACATTCCAGCTTGTCAATATCTCTCTTGAATTGTGGTGCCCAGAATTGGACACAATATTCTAGGTGTGGTCTAACCAAGGCAGAATAGAGCATGGGGAGCATGACTTCCCTGGATCTAGACACTATGCTCCTATTGATGCAGGCCAAAATCCCATTGGCTTTTTTTGTCACCACATCACATTCCTGGCTCATGTTTAACTTGTTGTCCACGAGGACTCCAAGATCTTTTTCACTGAGTCTGAGTCCCTCTATGGAGATAGAGAAGATCGGGGTATAAAAGTTTTAAATAATAATAATAAAACATTTAAAAACAATATATTAAGAGTTAAAACACATAACCTACGAGCATAATCCGGGCCGTTCATTCACGCTGTTATTGCACATAAATATTGCACAGGTGGTTCAAGGTTTTGTCAGCCACATTTTCACTCTCTTTCAGAAGGTCAAGAAGGAGGGGGCTGATCTAACATCACCGGGGAGGGTGTTCCATAGCTGAGGGCCACCACTGAGAAGGCCCTGACTCTTGTCTCTTGTCTGTTGGGGGTACGGTTGAATGTTTCAATTGGCCACCTTGATTAGCATTGAATGGCCTAGCAGTTTTCAAGGTGTGACTTCTTACTAACAAAATGAAGTTCAACAGTGACAAATGCAAGAGACTCCACTTAGGCAGAAAATAGGAAATGCAAAGAGACAGAATGGGGGATGAGGCCTGGTTCGAGAGCAGGACGTATGGAAAATATCTTGAAGCCAACAATGTGGTGTAGCAGCGAAAAAAAAGCCAATGGGATTGTGGCCTGCATCAATAGGAGTCTAGTCTCTAGATCCAGGGAAGTCATGCTACCCATGCTGTATTGTGCATGGTCGGACCACACCTGGAATCACACTGTGTCCAATTCTGGGCACCACAATTGAAGGGAGATGTTGACAAGCTGGAATGTGTCCAGAGGAGGGTGACTAAAATGATCAAGGGTCTGGAGAACAAGCCCTATGAGGAGCGGCTTAAAGAGCTGTACATGTTTAGCCTGAAGAAGAGAAGGTGGAGAGGAGGGCCATGGATAAATATGTGAGAGGAAAATCATAGGGAGGAGGGACCAAGTTTGTTTTTTGCTGCCCTGGAGACTAGGACGCAGTGGAACAATGGCTTCAAACTACAATATAATAATAATAATAATAATAATAATAATAATAACAACAATAATCATTACCTTTATTTATACCCTGCCACCATCTCCCCGAGGGGGACTTAGGGCACCTAACATGAGGCCAAGCCCAAAGATACAATAGAGCAAAATAAAATACAAAACATGAGGCCAAGCCCAAAGATACAATAGAGCAAAATAAAAAAATGCAAACAACGAAAAGCAACAAAAATTCCATCACAATAAAATATATACAATAGCGGAGTAGAGTAAACAAAGAAAATAACGTAATAAAAAATCAAACATAATGGGCAAAGGAGATTCCACCCGAACATGAGGAAGAACTAGGATTTTAAATCCTTGTGTTATTGGTTATTGTTTATAAGTGATTTATATTAATTGTATTGTATTTATTGATTTTGTTTATTGCTTTTTGTTTTTATTGATGTGCTGTTGGGCTTGGCCTCATGTAAGCCGCTCTGAGTCCTTTGGGGAGATGGTGGCGGGGTATAAATAAAGTTTTATTATTATTATTATTTTATTAACTTCCTGACTGTGAGAGCTGTTCAGCAGTGGAACTCTCTGCCCTGGAGTGTGGTAGAGACTCCTTCTTTGGAGGCTTTTAAACAGAGGCTGGATGGCCGTCTGTTGGGGGTGGTTTGAATGCGATTTTCCTGCTTCTTGGCAGAATGGGGTTGGACTGGATGGCCCAGGAGGTCTCTTCCAACTCTAGGATTCTATGTGAAAACTGTTCAGCAGTGGAACTCCCTGCCCTAGAGCGTAGTAGAGGCTCTTTCTTTGGAGGCTTTTAAACAGAGGCTGGATGGCCATCTGTTGAGGTTACTTTGAATGTGATTTTCCTGCTTCTAGGCAGAATGGGGTTGGACTGGATGGCTCAGGAGGTCTCTTCCTACTCTAGGATTCTCTATGCGAGCTGTTCAGCAGTGGAACTCTCTGCCCTGGTGTGTGGTAGAGGCTCCTTCTTTGGAGTCTTTGAAACAGAGGCTGGATGGCCATCTGTCGGGGGTGCTTTGAATGCGATTTCCATGCTTCTTGGCAGAATGGAGTTGGACTGTATGGCCCACCAGGTCTCTTCCAACGCTAGGATTCTCTGTGAGAGCTGTTCAGCAGTGGAACTCTCTGCCCCGGAGTGTGGTGGAGGCTCCTTCTTTGGAGGCTTTTAAACAGAGGCTGAATGGCCATCTGTCAGGGGTGCTTTGAATGCTATTTTCCTACTTCTTGGCAGAATGTGGTTGAAATGGATGGCCCATGAGGTCTCCTCCAAATCTAGGATTCTCTGTGAGAGCTGTTCAGCAGTGGAACTCTCTGCCCCGGATGTGGTGGAGGCTCCTTCTTTGAAGGCTTTTAAACAGAGGCTGGATGGCCATCTGTTGGGGATGCTTTGAATGGTTTTCCTGCTTCTTGGCAGAATGGGGTTGGACTGGATGCCCACCAGGTCTCTTCCAACTCTAGGATTCTATGATCTGTCCATTTCCTTCAGCAGTGGAACTCTCTGCTGTGTGTGTGCGTGTGGTGGAGGCTCCTTCTTTGGAAGCTTTTAAACAGAGGCTGGATGGCCATCTGTCAGGGGTGATTTGAATGCAATATTCCTGCTTCTTGGCAGAATGGGGTTGGACTGGATGAAGGCCCAGGAGGTCTCTTCCAACTCTAGGATTCTATGTCTGGGAGAGGTGGTTAGCTGTCCCTGATTGTTTCTTGTCTGGAGCTCCCCTGTCTTTATTTACTGTTTTGGTATCCCCGCCCACCCGGGGCCAAACCACGCCTCTTTGAGGGATCGCCCCGCCCCGCCGCCCTGGCCCCGCCCCCTGCTTACAAATGGTCGCAGCGGACGAGAGGCGAGTAGGGGCCGAGGTAGGCCCAAGGCGCCGTGGGAGTCGAGCCGGCGTCCAGCGGCTGCTCCGCGCCCGAGTCCCCGGAGCTTTCGGTGGCGTTGTGCTGGTGGCTCCGGGAGACGCCTTGGAGCAAGAGGAGGTTGCCGAGGAGCAGCGCGGCTTGGCCGCAGAGCAGCGCGTAGCTGAGGGGCCCTCCGCCGGCCATGGCCGCCCCGCCGCTCCCACTGCCTCGACAGGCCCCTCACGCGCTCCTCCAATCACCAGCCGCGCTCGTCGCCCGGAGGCGGGACAAAGCCGCCGCTCCAGCCAATGGAGGCAGAGAAAGGGCTGCCGACGCGTCAACTACAGAGATAGGAAACAAGAGCGGCTTAGGCGGCCTCGTCCAATACATAGAAGCTAGGCTTAGGCGACAGCGCATGCGCACACTACACACACACAGAGAGTTCACTCCCTTCTATTGCCTGCTGCTGCCTCCTACCGGCAAGGGAGAGCAACGCAGCACTGTTCCAATATTTTGGGAAATCTGAACACCTTGCAAGTAGAATAATAGTATTATTATTATTAT